TTCAGATAAATGTTGTTCTTCTGAACTTTCTATTCATTAAAGAAACCTGAAAAAATTCTACTCAGTTGTTTTCAACATAATAATAATAATAAATGTTTTTTTTGAGCAGCTTATCAGAATATTAAAATGATTTCTGAAGGATCATGTGACTGGAGTAATGATGCAAAAAATCTGCTTTGAAATCACAGGAATAAATAAAAAAAACTTTTAAATAGCAAAATCTTACTGTTGAAAAACTTTTGACTGATAGTGATGGATGGATGAATAGATAGAGATGGATGGATGGATGGATAGAGATGGATGGATAGAGATAACTTTTGACTGATAGTGATGGATGGATGGATGGATGGATGGATGAATAGATAGAGATGGATGGATAGAGATGGATGGATGGATGGATGGATAGGGATGGATGGATGGATGGATAGATAGAGATGGATGGATGGATAGAGATGGATGGATGGATGGATGACTAGATAGAGATGGATGGATGGATGGATGGATATATATATAATTCATAATACAAAATCTCTTTTTCATTATTGCAAAGTGAACAAATGCAATATAAATTGTATGGTTACAAGAATTTATGTAAGAAATCAACTTAACTGGCATGAAACAGTGCCTCAACAGTGCTAAAATAGACTTTTCTTTCTTTCTAGCAAAATATAATTTCCTGTTTATATACACTGCTCAAAAAAATTAAAGCAACATTTTTTAATCAGAGTATAGCATCAAGTCAAGTAAACTCCTGGGACATTGATCTGGTCAGTTAATTAGCAGAGGGGGTTGTTAGTCAGTTTCAGCTTCTTTGGTGTTAATGAAATTAACAACAAGTGGATGGATGGATAGATAGATAGATAGATAGATAGATAGATATTCTGAATACAACTCCCTTCCCCATTCACTTTAATTGTATGGAAAAGAATGGCCAGTGCACTTTTCCTTTTGTGTGTTAAAGCTACAAACTAATTTTCGTTACGTGTAAATGATGACAGAAAGCCCTCTGTCCCTCTCCAGGTTGTGTAGTGAAGGATTATGGGAATCTGACTTTTGAGGACATCCCCAATGATGAGCCCATTGGCAGACTGAAGACTCCGAGAGCAGTCGGCCGTGCCAATGAGCTGCTCGCAGGAGCTGTGCTGAAGATCAAGAGCGATGGCAATACTTGTGTGATGCTGGGAGGAGATCACAGGTCATTGTGTGCTTCCAGTTCTGTTCAGTTTAATGTTTGAACCTATTCTCAGCAATATGTTTGCTGTTTTTTACAGCTTGGCGATTGGTTCGATCTCTGGTCATGCCGCCTCAAGACATGAGCTGAGTGTTTTATGGGTGGATGCACACGCAGACATCAACACACCTTTAACCACACCAACGGGAAACATTCACGGCCAACCGCTGTCGTACCTCATACATGAACTGCACTCAAAGGTGAATGATGGTCTATAATCATTTCAGCACCTTTGTTAAAGTTTGTGTAATATGTTACAAAGTCATTACGTTACTGTCAGTCTCATCACAAAAAACTCCTAAAGAGATGTTCAACTTTAACTTCCTGACCATGGCTGACATGCAGTTGTCAGTATCTGTGCCTTTAGCACACTCATAACTAATAAACATTAACAGCTAACTTATTGAAAAGTTCATAGAAAATTTTATGAAACTCTCAGAAAAACATGTTCATGTCCTTTTTAAGAAAACCATTAGGATTATTTTGCTTTGTGACATTATTGTTATGCACAAATTACACAAAAAACATTTCTCCTGAAACTCCAATTAAGATAATGTGACATTACCAGTAATTGCAGTAATTCATGATTCTCATTAGATTCTCATTATTATTTTTATTCTA